AACCGTGAGATCATGACCTAAGCGAAAGTCGGACGCTTAACCGACTAAGCCACTCAGGCGCCCCTGATTTTCCTGACATTCTTAAAGAAAGGTGATAGTCCTACTTTATAGACTGAGAAACTAGAACCAAGGGAGGTTCGAGAACTTGCTTAGGTCACACAGCTAGAACGTAGAGCCAAGGGGAAACACTAGGTCTTTCTAATCCCCAGCCCCACGTTTGTTGGACCACAGCCTACTCTCTTCTAAGTGTGAGTTGTTAAAATGGAGACTGAGAGTTGGTTGGTGGATTGTGTTTGTTTAGCACTGGCTCTGCACAGCATCAGCATGGGACTGGGCACATCTTCTGTGTCAATCCACAGTCTTGCTTTCATTTATTCATCATCATTCAACAAGTGTTTTTTCAGGACCTGCTATGTGTCAGGTGCCTTTCTTGGTGCTAGGAATAAAATAGTAAACAAGCCAAAGACATTTTAAAATGGAGTTTACATTCCTAGTAGGAAAGACAGCACATAATAAGTATATAAATAACATGTCATACGTCAGTTAGGGATAATGCTGCATTTACCAGAAAGATAGGATAAAGGGGTAGAGAATGACCTAGGAACGGTCATTGGCCCTTAATTGATACTTATTAACTATTTGTTGATTGATTGATAGCATAGTAATTATTAAGCCATGTGTCTGGGGAAGGCCTCTCTGGCTCCCTGGATGAAGAGCTTTATAGGCAGAGAGAGCATCAGATGAATAGTCCCAGAAGTGGAAGTTTGCTTCGAATGTTTGAAGAACAGCAAGGAAGCCTACATGGCTGAAACAGAATGGCAAGGTAGAAAGTAGTAGAGGAGGAAGGTAGGTGGCAACCAGATCACGTAAGACTTTGGTGAGGACTGGGGGCACCTGGGTGGCTCAGTCGGCTAAGCGCCCGACTTCGGCTCAGGTCATGATCTCATGGTTCGTGGGTTCAAGCCCCGCGTCGGGCTCTGTGTTGACAGCTAGCTCAGAGCCTGCAGCCAGCTTCCGATTCTGTGTCTCCCTCTATCTCTGCCCCTCCCCTGCTCACATTGCCTCTCTCTCTCTCAGAAATAAATAAAAACATTTAAAAATTAAAAAAAAAAAGACTTTGGTGAGGACTGGCTTTACTTTTGAGTGACTTAGGAAGCCATTGGAGAGTTCTCAGCAGATCTGGCTTGCTTTAGGGGGTTTTTTAGGCAGGTTTTAGGAGGTTCATTATGGCACGCTGCCACGTGGAAAATACATTGTTGAGGGTCAAGGGCAGAAGCAGTGAGACCAGTTAGGACCAGCAATAAGACCATTTAGGAAACGATTAGAATAATTCAGGCAGGACATGCCGGTGACTTGGACCAGGGTAATAACAAGAGGAAATGTTTGGATATATTTTGAACATAGGAAGGAGCCAGGGACGACCTCAAGGTTTTTGTCCAGAGCAACTGAAACTGTCTTTTACTGAGAGAGAAGACTGGGAAGAATGGAGCAGGTTGGGTGGGTGGTAGAAATGGAGAATTTGACTTTGACATGTTATGTTTATGAGGCTTGTTGGGTGTTCGGTTGGAGATGCTGTGTAGGCAGATATGTGAATCTGATGTCTGCGGGGAGGTGGGACAGGAAATACAACTTCAGAAGTGGTTCATGGAGAGATGGTGCAAGCCATCCCATGCTGTCACAGGCTGAATAAGGTCTTATATTCTAGCATGGGAGCTTCAGTCTATTTTCCCCCTTGATATAAACCGATGGAATTTTTAACCTTTCATTCTTTTTTTTTTTTTCAGTTAACAGAAGATGAAATAGCTACAATATTACAGTCAACACTGAAGGGACTGGAATACCTTCATTTTATGAGAAAAATACACCGAGATATCAAGGCAGGAAATATTTTGCTAAATACAGAAGGACATGCAAAACTTGCAGATTTTGGGGTAGCGGGTCAACTTACAGTAAGTAGAAATGTCACGTGTCTTGGTAACTTTCAGCTCTGTCCTGAGAAGGAATTCCTGTTATTTAGGTATTTAAAAAAAATTTTTTTTTAATGTTTATTTTGAGAGAAGAGACAGAGTGCGAGTGGGGGAGGAGCAGAGAGAGAGTGGGGGAACACAGAATCCAAAGCAGTATCCAGGCTCTGAGCTGTCAGCAGAGCCTGACACGGGGCTCAAACTCACGAACCATGAGATCGTCACTTGAGCCGAACTTGGACACTCAACCAGCTGAGCCACCCAGGCGCCCCTAGGTATTTTTAAAAAAGAATTGATTTCATTGTGTTCATAAAAAGATTATAAAAGGTGCCAGTAAAATTATAAAAGAGCGAGTAGGTTACATCAGATCCTTTCCTGGGGTTCAGGTTCCCAGATATTAACTTTGATAAACTGAAAGATAAAACAAGAAATGATAGAGTAGAAGTTTGAATTTTGTTCATCGTCATATTTATAAAAGGAAGAAAAATTCAATCCAAACTGCTCTCTTTGAATAAGACATAGCATCATCTCAACCAGGAAGCAGTTGGCAGTTATTTTACTGAAAACACCTTCCTCGTTTGTGTCCAGGATACCACTTTTTGATTCTCCTCCTACGTCACCAGTGCATGGCAACGAGAAAAACCATGTTTTCAAAACAGGAAATGTAGAATTACCTGCTTTTGAAAAATGCCTAAGTATATATGAAGTATATGCAGAAAAACAGAAACAGTGCTGGACAGATAAGCACTCAAATTTGTAGCAATGACTTTATACATCAAACAGTTTTCTTGGGCCGCAGAAAAAAAATATTTTTTGCTTGTTTGTTTAGAGCTGGTCTTAGGTAGAGTTTTCTGGCTTTTTGTCTTGTTTTGATTTTTGTTTTTAAATCTACCTGGATTATGTTAGGCAGTTTAATAGGCTTTGCAATGGCACAAACATTTGTTTTTGATGTTTAAAAAACAAAATCAGAAACTTATTCCATATTGTGATTTCTGGGCCTTTCAAAAGATGTTGTTAACACGTAAAGTCCTTCTAGGGAACAGTTCATGCTTCCAGCTATAGTATATAAATGTGCCTGTTTCTGGGGCTACTGGCTGGCTCGGTCTGTAGAGCATGCAACTTTTTTTAAAAAATATATCTTTTAATGTTTATTTACCTTAAGAGAGAGATACAGAGTACAAGCAGGGAAGGGGCAGAGAGAGAGGGAGACACAGAATCCAAAGCAGGCTCCAGGCTCCGAGCTGTCAGCAAAGAGCCCGACATGGGGCTTGAACTCAGGAACCATGAGATCATGACCTGAGCTGAAGTCAGGCGCCCCTAAAGCATGCAGCTCTTAGTCTCAGGGTCATGAGTTCAAGCCCCACATGGGGCATAGAGCCTACTTAAAATAAATAAATTAATTAATTAAAAAAATGAATGAATTAAAAAATGTCCATTTTCCCTCATATTTGCCAGTACTGAATGAGAAATAAATTGTATCTTTTAAATCATTTTTGAAACTATTTTTACATTTGACTGTTGGCCATTTACAATTCTTCTTTTGTAAGTTAACTCTTCATCTTAATTTTCCTAAATGTGTTGGACCTTTTAAAAAAAATCTGTTTGGTGGGGGGGCCCAGTGGCTCAGTCAGTTAAGCATCTGACTTGAATTGGGTTCAGGTCATGATCTCATAGTTCATGGGATTGAGTCCCGTGTTGGGCTCTGCATTGATGGCGTGGAGCCTGCATGGGATTCTTTATCTCCTTCTTTCTCTGCCCCTCCCCTGATCGTGCTCTCTCTCAAATAAATAGCCATGAAAAAAAGAAAAACCCTATTTGCTAGGGGCACCTGGGTGACTCAGTTGGTCGGGCATCTGACTCGATCTTAGCTCAGGTCTTTTTTAAAAAATTTATTTAAAATAATTTTTTTAAGTATGTTTATGTATTTTGAGAGAGAGAGAGAGAGAGAGAGAATCCCAAGCAGGCTCTGCACTGTCAGCACAGGGCCAGATGCGGGGCTCAGTCTTGTAGTTAGACACTTAACTGATGAGCGACCCGGACTCTATGCTGAGAGCCTGCTTGGGATTCTCTCCCTCTCTCACTCTGTCCCTCCCCGGCTCTTGCTCTCTATCTCTCAAAATAAATAAATAAACTTTAAAACAAAAAAAGATAAACCAAAACTAAAAAAATTTGTTTAAACACTGAAGTTTCCAAATTTTATATACGGAAATCCACCTTCCTTTTACGTTGTGCTTTCTGCCTTTGATGCCATCCTTTAAAGTCCTTTTCTGCTTCAGCATTCTAGAACTGTTCATCTATACTTTCTTTTAGTACTTTTTGGATTTTGTGTTTTGTATTCAAGTTTTCAGCCTATTTGAACTTCCTTTGGTGAAAAGTTTAAGTTAGGAAATTAAGTGTAGAGTTTTAGAAATGATTAGCCAGACTCTCATTGCTTTTTTTAGTCCTTTGCTTGGTAGTTAGGAATGACATTTTAATCATATCTCAGGCTTTATGTATATGTGTGTGTGCACGCACGCATGTGTGCACACACTTTAATACACATACATTGCCATTGTCTGTTTCTGGACTTGATGTTTTCCCTTGATGTGCTACTATATTAATGTAACTTTGTAATAGAGATCAAGCTGGGTGAGTATCCACTCATTACTCTTAGTTTTAAAAAAATTTCTAGATCTGCAAATACTTATTTCTAAATAATGAGTATTTCAAGGATATAATCTTTGAAAACAACTTTGACTACCGCCATTTGAAAACTGCAAATGTAGGTTTCAAAGCAAAGGAAATGACTAAGCAATAAGTTAGTTCCTATGCAAGTTTTTTGCATAGGACTCACAAAGTGCAATCGATTTAAAAATATTACTATCATTTGCCCCTCACTGGCACAGCCTAAGTGAGGTCACGGGCATTTCAGAAGGAACATGAGTGATGGTGATGGGAAGTGCTAATGCACATTTAGTTCTGTTTAAAATCCTTCTCCTCCTAAAATACAGGGTCCCAAAAAGGTTCTCTTTCAAGAAGGCCATGCCATTCTGGGCAAGTATGAAAGTAGTTATTTGCCCACGTGCGCTACGTTCATATATTTTTCTTTAAGCCCCAAACTAAGACTTTTTCGATGTGGACATTATATTTTATAGAACATGTGTACATGGTAGAAAGAAAAATTACATATGTACATAAACATGCACACACATGATTTTTCTTTTTTTAATTTCTTGATTGTACATGTACTGCATGCTCATGTATCCATCAGAGTGTTACAGAAGTAGATGAGATGGAAAGTAAGCGCCCTTCGTGATTCCACCTTCTAGATGTAACTGTTGCTAATAGTTTGGTGTGTATTGAGATCTTTCTTTTCTTTTGCTATCCATATAGCAACAGTATTTATTATTATTGTTTGCTGTTTAATTGTTGTTGTGATCATTAATTTTCTTTTACAAAAACAAGGCTATATTACATATAATTTTGCAATCCAGTTTTCTAGCTTTACAATGTATTTTCCATGCCAGGAAATGTATCGGTCTCCTTTTTAAGAAATTGTATGGATATTTATTGTTTTTAATTTGGTGGTCTTTTGAGTTGTCTCAATTTTCTTCCAACCCCCGCCCCCCCCCCCCGCCATTACAAGTATTTCTCCAATACCTGTGCATGTATCTTAGGGTACCTACACATAGGATACATTTTTAGAAAAAGATTTGGATCAAAGGATATGGACATTTAACTTTATAAATATTGCCAAATTGCCTACAAAACATTATACCAATTTATACTCTGGTAACACTGTATTTCAGTGCCTGAGTTTCTATGCTGTTTCAGCACAAGTTATTATTTCTTTAAATGTTTGTCAACCTTATTTTAGTGTTTGTTATTTTCTGTGGATTTGTGTCTGTGTGTGTATTTTAAAGTTAGTTTATTTAGAGAGTGAGCGAGCATGTGTGCAAGGTGGGGAGGGGCAGAGAGAGGGGGAGAGAAAGAATCCCAAACAGGCTCTGGCCTGTCAGCCCAGAGGCTGACGATGGGGCTCAGTCTCATGAACTGTGAGATCATGACTTGAGCCAATATCAAGAGTCAGTCGCTTAACCAACTGAACCAACTGAGCCAGGTGTGTATGTGTTTTAACAATTGAGAATCTTTTATGTTTCTAAGTCATTTGCATTTCTTTTGTGACTTGCTCAATCATGCCTTGAATATGGTTTTCATATGTAGTCCAAGTACAAGACTTTTCTTGTTGGAAAAGTCTCTTTTTCTCAGTAGTTTTAATGCTTATGTGTTGACCTCCACCCTTTTCTGTTTTAGGATACCATGGCCAAACGAAATACAGTGATAGGAACACCATTTTGGATGGCTCCAGAAGTGATTCAGGAAATTGGATACAACTGTGTGGCAGACATCTGGTCGTTGGGAATTACAGCCATAGAAATGGCTGAGGGAAAGCCCCCATATGCTGACATCCATCCAATGAGGGTGAGGAAATGGACAAGACCAGTAGGGTGGTTAGCTATTGGTCGTCATTAGAAAGTTAGTTAAATGGCTTACTTGATTAGATACCAAACAGTAAATGAACTAATTGTATATAATTGGTAAGTGGCCGTCTAGACTCCACTGGTTGTGGTCACTAATCAGTTCAAGTGTGATCCATCCCCTCCATTCCAGACGTTGTGTGTTGTGTGTTGATAGCTGTCAGGACGTAGGTCACAGAAATGCAATGTCTGTTTCGTTAATAGTTTAGGTGCTCACATTTTAACATAATAGTAACTGGAGCCTCATTTATACAAGGCATGGGCTTTCCACTTTATCAGTCTCCCTGATTCCTTAGTCACCAAGTGTCCTTTGTCCCTTGTCACAGTGTTTTCTCTGTTTTTCTCATAGCAGTATTAAGAGGAAAGCAAACTATTTTTTTGGTCTCATGTCCCTAGCACCCAGCCCAATTTATTTGCTGTTTTTCCCGCCTGGACTTCAGAGGTACTAATATGTGTAAGTTCTGGTTTGGAGATCCCCAGACTCTTGTCATCGGAGGTTCTGTTCTTTGCAGCCTCCATGGGCTTCTAGAGTAGTAAGGGCCCACTGGTGCAGTCTCCACTGAAACTGTCAGTGTGACACCCTCGGAGGTTTGCAGGCCATTCCCAGCCCTGGCCCCTCATCACAGCACTGTGAAATCGCCTTGATCGTGCCTTCCTTGGGGCCTCCATAGTCCTCTCTCTGTACCTCCCAGCCCAGCTCCTCCTCTTCTCTGATTAATGAGTACTTCTGTTCAAAGACTTAACAATTTGTAAAAAAGTATTCATGGGGCGCCTGGGTGGCTGAGTCGGTTAAGCGTCCGACTTTCACTTAGGTCATGATCTCGCGGTTCGTGGGTTCGAGCCCCGCGTCGGGCTCTATGCTGACTGCCAGCTCAGAGCCTGGAGCCTGCTTCAGATTCTGTGTCTCCCTCTCTCTCTGACCCTCCCCTGCTTGCGCTGTCTCTCTCTCTCCTAGAAATAAATAAAACATTAAAAAAAATTAAAAAAAAAAAAAAGTATTCATGTGCCCAAAGATAAGCTCCCCTCTTTTTTGGGGGGCAGAAGTGGGAAAGAGTGGGAGGATTTACTGGTTATATTTTTAGATTTAAAGAACATAATTTAAGCTGCTTACTTCAGAGTTAAAAATTTTTTTTAATGTTTATCTTTGAGAGAGAGACAGAGCATAAGAGAGGGAGACACAGAATCTGAAGCAGGCTCCAGGCTCTGAGCTGTCAGCACAGAGCCCGACGCGGGGCTCGAACTCACGAACCAGGAGATCATAACCTGAGCCAGTCGTACGCTCAACTGACTGAGCCACCCAGGCACGCCTAGAGGGTTTTTTTTTTTTTAATTGTAGCTCTTTTATTGGAAACTCAATAAGTAATAGTTTTAACTTTTTGCGGTGGTAGAGTTTTACTGCAATGTGGTAATGCCAGTTTTTTTTTTCAAATATGTTAAATAGGCTTGGCCTGGAGGGTAATGAATCCCTTGTGATTTGGGGGGACTTTTGGGACTTTTTGTCTCCTTGCAGTCACTGTTCACATGCTAGTGCTGATGGTGACTTTTAGGGAGGAGGGAGATTGGACAACTGTGGGGCTGAGATTATCTTCAGGCTATTGATACTCTCAGGCCTTGCCTTTTCACTTCGAAAGGCAGTATACTGTGGTACTGTGGTTAGCAAAACCCCCCAAAAGCTTGCTGGATATTGGAGGTTGAGGGGACAGGAATACACACGAAAGACGGAGAGGGAGAGAGAGCTATATCAACTTCTTGGTCATACTTCCTACTTTGAGGCACTTAGACTTTTGTTAGAATTCCATTGAGCTTATCAGTGGATAAGAGGAAAATAAATTTTTCAAACTTTAAATGGATCTCTCGTCATATTTTAGTTAGTACATCACTTCTATTTTACCAAAAACAATTTTTTTTTTTAAACTAGGCAATCTTCATGATTCCCACCAACCCTCCTCCTACATTTCGAAAGCCAGAACTCTGGTCCGATAACTTCATGGATTTCGTGAAGCAGTGTCTGGTAAAGAGCCCTGAGCAGAGAGCCACAGCCACTCAGCTCCTACAGGTAAGACCCTCCCTGAGATGCTACCTCCCTCTGGCCCACCCACCTGCTGGCCCACCCACCTGCGTGAAGCCGGTAAAGAAGTAGAAGACATTCCCTGCCTCTAAGGAGCTGTGAACTACTGGGTAGAAAACAATGTTAGATCATGGAACAAGATCATAATACAAGAAAACAGAGGGCTTTGCACATGTGCCATTTAATCATCACACATCCCCAGGAGGGAAGGTATTATTTCAGTTTTCTGGGGAAAGAGTGGAAGCTTAGAGAAATCAACTCATTTAGAAGCACTCAGCTGGGGAACAGCAGAGCCAGGGCTAGAACTTGGGCCTTCCTGGTTCCAAAGCACAGGTGCCCGCAAGTCTACCCAGTTCTGACAAGGACCTGAGATTAATGGTAGGCACTCTTGTAGCTCATGAGGGGAGGAGGCGACTTTGGGCTGGAGGGATTGGGACTGCTTTCCTGGGGCAGGTTGCCTCGGTGCATGGGCCTTGCAGGCCAGGTGGGGTTTGCAGGCAGTCCGCTCGGTGCCGAGGAGGTTGAATTCAGGTGTCACACTGTCCAGGTTTGAATCCTGGAGCCCTCTTTACTAGCTTTATGACCATGGGCAAGGAACCTAACCTCTGTTGCTTTAGTTTTCTTATCTATGAGTGGAGACTAAGTACCTGCCTCATCTATTGTAAAGATTAAGTGATTTGTGTAACTTTGAACAAAGTTTCACATGCATTAAAGGTAGAATGATGTGGAGTTGACAAATATCTGTGGTTATTATTGGGCTGGGCCAGTGGTTTTCAGCCGTGGCAGCCCCAGTGCCCCCTCTTGATAATGAATATGTATATTTTTAGTACTCTAACTACTGTCCTCTAATGAAATTTGTAGCTAATAAAATCTGTTTATGCCCATAACTTAAAAAAGGTTAGTATAATGTGTATGATATAAAGGAGAGATATAAAGATAGTAATCCATAAAATGTGTAGGAGTCTAGAAAGAGGCTTTAGTTTGACTCAACTGGCAGACACAATGCAGTGGCTGCATACCTGTATCTAGCACCACAGGTGAGCTTGGATTTAAGAATGGTCACCATTCCATCCAGGCACTCGAGGAAAATGAGTGGGTGGACACTGGCATGAAAGTGATGTTAAATCATAACAGACCAGGCTTATTTGTATGTGATAAGAGGAGGGAAATGATTTCCCAAGTGGAGAGAACAAGGACATACGATATTCTTATAAATTAAGCTGGGTCTTAGTTCTAAGTGTATTGACAACTTCTTTCCTGCTGGGATGGGGTTCTGCTAAAGTTTTATAGAAAAGAAATCTCCTTTGCAACCCATCACAGGCCAAGATGTACTTACAGAGTTTTTACAAAACCTTAGAGACCATCCCCTCTGATGGGTGCTGGGGAGTAGAGAATGGGTTGCAAGGAGAAACATGGGGGCAGTGTCACAGTAAGTCGGGGAGACAACAGGCAACCCCCCAAAAAGAATTTCCACATGTAACTTTCACAGCCTCATTTCTTACTGTACTATAAACACAAATAACAAAAAAAATAGTATTCATACTAAAAAATCTACAGCTTGTATAAATGAAATTCCATATCCCTGGGTTTCACGTGTCTGTGCTGATTGATATCTGGGCCTACATCTGTTCCATATTTGTGATCCGTTTTAGTGTTTCTGCTGACCACACTTTTGCCCTGAAATCCCTTTTTACCTAAATATGTAGTTAGAAATGCTATATAGAGCGTTGTATAGAAGGAATAAGCAGGAAGAGCAGACTATCCGGTGCTAGTTAAACAATGTCTCTATGACATTGGGGCCCTCTCCAAAGTCATCTCCTAAATTACTGGGCTTTTGTGCTCATCTCTTGGAAAACATGTCTCAGTATTATTTACTAAGGTGTGTGCTAAGACATTTGGAAGATGTGCAGAATGTGCCACCACTGGCTGCTGCGCAGGACTGCCCCACGCTCTGAAGCGCTGTCCCTGCTTCCCCTCCTGTGTCCTTGGTGTTCTCCAAATGGGGACAGCTCCAAGTTCCCACACGTTTATGAAACCCCCTCTAGGGGGCAGTACCACCCTGCCGAGAAGTTGTAGGTTTGGCAGCGAGAGATGGAGGAGACTCTGCAGCTAGGCTGAAAAAGACCAGCAAACCAGAGAAGGCTTCTCTGGTTGGAGCCGTAAAGTGAGTGATTTCACGCCTGTTCATCCCGAACAGAAAGGGAAAGATGAGATTCATCAATTCAGCAAATGTGATCAGGCGCCTCTGGTGTGCCACGCACTGTTTGGGCCCTCGTGTAAACTGTCTCCGTTTGTGTTTTAAGCACCCGTTTGTCAAGAGTGCCAAAGGAGTGTCGATCCTGCGGGACTTAATTAACGAGGCCATGGACGTGAAGCTGAAGCGCCAGGAAGCCCAGCAGCGGGAGGTAGACCAGGACGACGAGGACAATTCGGTGAGTGGCGGCGTTGCCCGCGTCGCCCCGTGAGTGCGATGCCAGCTCTGGTGGGACGGGTGGCCCTCAGCCGGGAGCTGGAGACGCCGCGGGGCTGGTTGGGCCCGTCCTGGACACCGCTGACGGCTTGCCTGTCTCTGCTTGTTCTTCTCCACAGTGCTTCCTAAGACACTTTCAGTTTTACTCTTTTGCCCCCACCCCACCCCCAGCATTTACCGAATTTGACTTTTTTTTTAAATTTATTTCTAGGAGAGAGAGAGACAGCGTGAGCAGGGGAGGGTCAGAGAGAGAGGGAGACGCAGACTCTGAAACAGGCTCCAGGCTCTGAGCTGGCTGTCAGCACAGAGCCCGACGCGGGGCTTGAACCCACGAACCGCGAGATCATGACCTAAGCGAAAGTCGGACGCTTAACTGACTAAGCCACCCAGGCGCCCCGAATTTGACTTTTTATTCGGGAAAAAACGCTCAGGTCGGAGACCTGGTCTTTCATGCCCTTTAGGAGAATCAGGGATCTGTACTAAATATGTGGAGTGTACACTCAGAGACTCCCTCACAAGCCTGAGATTCCAAGGGTGTGCACCTCAGCTCCTTAGATTTACATTGTAAAACCCTTAAGGAGAGAAGAAGGGGTGAGGGAAGAGGGTCCTCCTTTTAAAATTTTTTTTTAATATTTATTTTTGTGAGAGAGACAGAGTGTAAGCAGGGGAGGGGCAGAGAGAGACAGGAAGACATGGAATCCAAAGCAGGTTTCAGGCTCTGAGCTGTCAGCACAGAGCTCGAGGTGTGGCTTGAACTCACAAACTGTGAGGTCATGACCTAAGCCGAAGTCGGATGCTCAACCGACTGAGCCACCCAGGTGCCCCATGAGGGTCCTCCTGGTTCGATATGCCATCTCGTGTGGCTGGCTTTATGATCCTACTTGGTTAAGTAAGAGCGCTCTCAGTTCTGCAAGGTGTGGGTCTAGAACCCCAGTCAGCATGAAATCCGGAAATGATGAGTAACAGTAATTCCAAAGACTCAAAGCCTTTGGATCCAGTTAGCCCGATTTGAGGGTTTGTCCTCCTGCAGGAAGAGGATGAGATGGACTCTGGCACAATGGTTCGAGCAGCAGGTGATGAGATGGGCACCGTCCGCGTGGCCAGCACAGTGACCGACGGAGCCAGCACTATGATCGAGCATGGGGACACGTTGCCGTCACAGCTGGGCACCATGGTGATCAACGCAGAGGATGAGGAAGAGGAAGGGACCATGAAAAGTAAGGCTCTGGTTAAATATACTCCCTTCTTGGACACGGTCCCCACATTCCAGAGAAAGTAGGCTCTCCTGGTCCACATGGGCTCAGGCTCAAGTCACTTCCTGGTGGTGCAGGGTTGGGGGCAGGGGAAGGGGACGGCTGGCCTGTGGTGTCAGAGGCAAGAAAACATCAGCAACGAGGAGGAACTTTCTTTCAAACCTGAATGGCCATTTGCTCCTCAAATGTTGTCATTTTCTTCTTTTCCTTGATCCGTGGAGGCGCATACACTTAGTGTTTTGATGCGTAATCGAAGTGTAAGGAGATTCTGAGCTATTTACATATCGTCAGTGTATTTTCCGTTTTCTGTGCATTTAACCCAGGTTTACCAATACTCCGTCAGTACTCAGTCAGTCAGGCTGACTGTACAACTGTGAAAGTTCTATCAAAACCCTTCTAGTTGAAACCCTCCTCTGCTTTGCTTCTTATCCTGCTCGTCTTTTTTTGCCTGTGACCGAGACCCGACACCCATGCTCGGCTCCCATCTCAGAGTGCTGTCCTCTCCCCTGCGCCTCGCTTGTTTCCCTTCCCTTATCTGTGCATCACAGAGCAGCTCACAGAGGAAAGCGGTTTGTGGGTATAAACAGTAACAGTTGAATTCTGTATGCACATTTTAGCCTGCACTTTGCATGGGTTTATTTATTTGTTTTCTGATTAATTTATTTTTTTAAATATTTTATTTATTTATTTATTTTGAATACATTTATTTATTTTTGAGAGAGAAAGAGAGACAGCACAAGCAGGGGAGGGGCAAAGAGGGAGAGAGACACAGAATTCGAAGCAGGCTCCAGGCTCTAAGCTGTCAGCCCAGAGCCCGACATGGGGCTCAAAGTCACGAACTGTGACATCATGACCTGAGCCGAAGCCGGACACCCAACCGACTGAGCCACTTAAGCGGCCCTAAAGATTTTGCTTATTTATTTTTTAATTATTCTTAATGTTTCTTTATTTTTGAAAGAGAGGGAGACAGAATCTGAAACAGGCTCCAGGCTCTGAGCTATCAGCACAGAGCCCAACGTGGGGCTCGAACTCATGAACTGCGAGATTGTGACCTGAGCTGAAGTCGGATGCTTAACCAACTGAGCCACCCAGGCACCCCCTAAAAGATTTTATTTTTAAACAATCTCTACATTCAGTGTGGGGCTCGAACTCGTGACCCTGAGATCAAGAGTCGCACGCTCCACTGACTGAGCCAGTCAGGCGCCCCTTGAATTTTGCATAGGTTGAAAGCATTAAGGCTTTATAATCTTTTCCTCTTTTTTTTCCTCTTCCCTTTTTAAAGTTTAAAGGTCCTTCCTTTAAACCAGGGAGCGGCAAACTATGGTTCACAGGCCAAATCCCACCTACCACCTGGTTTTGGCGGTAAAGTTTATTGGAACATGGCCATTCATTTACATATTGTCTGTGACTGCTTTATGCTATAGATGCACAGTGAGCAGTTGTGACAGAGACCATAGGGCCCACAAAGCCTGAAATGTTTGCTCTCTGGTTCTTTACAGACGGCAGAAGTTCTCTACCTCCTGCCCTAGACCCTCTGCTTCGTGATTAATTCATTCAGTGAATTTTTCTTCCGTGCTGTATCCTGGGTCCTCTGCCGGGTGCTGAGGACACAGCCCGGAATGAAGAACCAGTCCTGGCCTCAGAGGGACTCACGGTCTAGGGTGGGGGATGGACCATTAATTACAATTCAGTATATGAAATAAGCCTTAAATGGAGGTAACCGAGGGGCTTGTCAAAGCAGAGTGCAAGAGTCTGCAGTGTGGGCTGAGGATGAGTGCACAATCCCTGGTGGGAGTGACAGGAAGGGTGGCAGTGACGAGGGTGGGTGGCAGTGTGCCAGCAGAGGGAGCAGCGCACACAGAGGCCCAGAGGCGAGAGACGGGTCAGTGCAGGGGAGCTGTGGCTGCTGTATCCGGACTGGAGCGAGCAGTTCTGGGGCTGGGGGTCCCAGGCAGCCCCCCTCTACTTTCCACGTTTCAGGTCTGTGTATTTATAATCAGCCCTTTGTTTACGAAGGGAAAGGTTTTCTTTTTTCTGTTTTGGGGCCAAGGCTTAATCTGTGTGTGGATTCTGGTCAGAAGTGTACAGGTGGTGAAAAGTAGTAATATTGTTGATGGATGTGTAAATTGGTGTAACTTTTGTGGAATGTAATATGCATCAAGGGTTTAAAAAGTTCAGACCTTTGACTCAGCACATTCCACTTCTAGGAATCAGATCCAAGAAAATGATCAAAGATGCAGACAAAATTATATGCAAGAATTTTTCCAAACATGTTACTTAGAATTGTAAAAAAAAAAAAAATCTGGTTTAAATGTTTAGTAGCAGATTATTGTCAAATAAATTATGGTACATCCGTAAGAGGGAATACTGTACCATACAGAGACGTTAAAAATCCCGTTTTTGAAAAATACACAGTGAGTTAGGGAAATACTTATGTTGTTAAGGGAAAAGAGAAGGAGGGGTGCCTGCGTGGCCCAGTCACTTAAGCGACCGACTCTTGACTTCAGCTCAGGTCATGATCTCAGTTTCATGAGCTTGAGCCCTGCATTGGGCCCTGCACTGACAGCGTGGAGCCTTCTTGGGATTCTCGGTCTCCCTCTCTGTCTGCCCCTCCCTGGCCCTCTCTCTCTCTCTCTCTCTCAAAGTAAATAAATAAACTTTAAAAGAATTTAAAAGGAAGAAAAGAGAAGGAAGCAAAATTATAGCACGACTCCAGTTTTAGAAAAGTAAAAACATAAATTAACATACATTACTGTGTATATAGAAAAAAGACTGAAAAAACAAAAGGTTGGTAAATAAAGCAGATATTTTAAAAGTGGTATTATTAGTAATAGGATTATATGTGTTTTAAATTTTATTTATTCTCCAGATTATTTTCTAATGTTATCATAAAAGAAATCCTACCAGAAATACTGATGGGACAGTATGTCTGGTAAATCAGGGTTTGTATGTGGATTGTCCTGAGAATTCTTTTTTTCCCCCCCTCTCTTTTTCCTCTTCTTACTTCTTATGGGCTTAAAAATGGATATTTACAAGAGTCTATAAAAACATTGTCACCTTGCTTGTCCCTTTAAATTCTGATTTCATTAAGTGTTCTTAGGTATGTTTCATCCCTTAAACTCCATATTGAAGCATCCTAGGTACATATCCTAGATATGAGTTTGGTGTTACATAAATTATCACATGAATGTTACGTGCTTGACATTCTTAGTTTTTCTTTCTAAATGTTCAAGTAGCCAGTGTAGTTTAAGAGGGTCTGTTTTGTAGCTGCTGACCTCTAGTTCTTTCCATGGATTCTGAGTGCTTTGTCTTCTACTTGTTTTAAGGGCTTTCATTATACAGATGATTCTAATCACTGTGCAGTATAACTTGGCTGGGCCCATCCATGCACATGTTCTGGAAAATCTGCCCCTTTTTTATTTAAAGAGTTAATTTTGTTCCAAATGTGATTTTCCAAATGTATTTTAAGTGCTAATTAATTCAGTGGGTTGTTTGTTCAGTTTCTGGGCTTGGGTACTTTAGTGTGTCTAATGAGAAACACACATTTTTTATTAGAGTCCTGATGAAAAACTGCCTAAAACCCGTGGCAGTCATAGCTGAGTGACATCCAGTAAACTCAGTTCACCAGTCGTCTGCTTCAGGTCTTGTACTTCGGTTTTGGGGCCACAGGTTTGACAGATTTGCCACTTACTTTGAGATCTTTACCACTTATTTTTTTTTTAGGAGTTACTTAAACTCTTCATTGTGGGAAATTAAAACATAACATAATTGCGTGGAATAGTATCATGACCCCATACAGTTTCTAGAAGGATCATATTTCAGCCCCTCAGAACTGAATGAATGAACTGAATGAATTTAAAGCACATCTCAGACATCATACCATTTCTTCAGAATTCGTTGTAGACATTTAAAGGAGACTGTCAGACCGAGCTTGGCCCAGAAGCTGTCTGTGCTGTTTTGGAGAAGTCACTTTCCCCGGATGGGCCTCTGTGCCTTAATGGGCAAAATTCAAGAGTCATAAACTTATTCCTTTCCTTGCCCCTTACAGCTCAGATAGTCCACGTGTTTATAAAACTTTTAGAACTCAGGACTAACACAGAACTGAAGTTTCTAGATGTTAAAAATCTGTTTTCACAAATAGGCTTTCATGTACTGTGTTCTTTGAACTTCTGTGAAAAGTTTAACCCTTGAAAATTAAAATTGTAATTGTTACCCTCGATAAACCTAAGAAAAAAGTGACATCCCCATAGTGGTTTGCATTAGTTTCATAGAATCTAATTTTAGTTTCTAAGTTTAAAGAAACTGTAACAAGAACATTAGAAGACTTGCACACAATTTGTGTAGGACATCTAGGTCAGAAACTTTTCTGAATTTTTTGGTACGCTTTTTGACAATTGACTGTATTTTACTGATTTTTAAAAATGTTTATTCCTTGTCTTAGAAAAGTTAGATATTTCATTTGCTTCTATTCTCAGTTACCATATTAAAAATTATTATACCAACGGTATTATGGCAATATTAACACAGGTTTTTTTTTTTTAACGTGGTTTTATTTTGAGAGAGCGAGAGTGTGCGCAAGCGGGGAGGGGGTTAGAGAGAGAAGGTGAGAGAAAATCCCAATCAGGCTCCGCACTATCAGCACGGAGTCTGACGTGGCACTTGATCCCAAGAACTGTGAAATCATGACCTGAGCCCAAACCAGGAGTCAGTTGCCTAACCAGCTAAACCACCCAGGCGCCCTTTAAGGCACTATTAAGAAAGAAAGTAGTTCACCTTTTCACTCAACTGAAGAATGCCTGTTTTTGACTGTGTGCCATTATAGTTCCTATACAGTAATAATTTGCCTAGATATTCTTTTTTTAATGTTTTTTTTTTTTTTTAAATTTCTGAGAGAGAAAGACAGCATGAACAGGGGAGGGTCAGAGAGAGAGGGAGACACAGAATCCAAAGCAGGCTTCAGGCTC